CTAAATCTAAATCTAAATCTAACTTGCATTCAACAGTCAACACTCGGGCGGGTAACTTGGAAACCTATCCCCAGGCCTGCTGGGAGAGCCAGGTCTTAAGGGCCGTGCAGAAAGTCTGCATGGTGGTGAGGGTACGAATCTCAACGGGGAGATCGTTCCACAGGGTCGGAGCTGCAACAGAAAAGGCTCTCCTCCGTGTAGTCGCCAGTCGACATTGACTGGCAGATGGAATTCGGAGGAGGCCCAGTCTGTGTGATCTAGTTGGTCGAAGGGAGGTAATCGGCAGGAGGCGGTCTCTCAAGTCAACCGGCATCAGCCGGTTGGTCTTTGGGTTTCCGGCATGCACACATATGCACATGTTCCACTTTGGGTTCTTGGTGCCCAAAAGGTTCACCATCACTGTCCTACACCATTTCAGGCAAGCGAATCCACCCGCTTCAAGGTTTCTTCCATAAAACTGACCCGATTGCGGCTTGGCGCAAACGAGTCAGGCCTGGGGCAATTCTGGCCACGCTTGACTCGAGTTCGAATTCTCCCCCCTTTTCTCCCCCAGGTTGCCTTCCCCGAGCATCACTGGCTTTCCAACGATCAGCTCCCTCTCTTAGAAGCTCTGCTGCCTCCCCGGGAGGAAGTGATGGTTTCCGAAGACATGGATCAAGTCGACCTGGTCGAATTCGACCCCAAAGAACGAACCTACCGAAACCACGGTGAAGCCTACGAAGAGGACGAGGAAGGCCCGAGGACGGGGGTCCAGTGCCAGACCTCGTGAACCAAGCGGGGTCTGGGCGCATGGACTGAATGCGAGGAACCATCGCCGGGCTCCCGTTTATCAAGTTCGGCACGACGAACGGCTGTATATTAGTTCTGTTTCATATTTATGTGTTCGTGTTGTTAAAAAAAAGAAAGAAATGGATCTGTGTAACTTGAAACACCGAATGTGCTGTTGCTGTTTGATATAAATAAGCTTTCCTTCCCCCCTGCCCCCATTTAACCCTAATTGTCCCAATCCTGTGGTTTTTCTGGCTCTCCAGGGCTACGAAGAATGTTGGCGGGGGATTATTAAACCAGAAGTGAGCGTTTTTGAGAAACGTGCATGTCAAGGTTTCCCCAGCGGTGGTTAAAACTTGAAACGTTGCCACTTCACCTTAACAAGATGGTCTCCATATTCTAGATTATTTAATAGGTATTTTATCAAATAAAATATCAGGACCATTTTCTGGCCTGAACCCTGAGTGGTTGGTTGCTCTGGATGGGAACTGTGCCACTACTTCTAACAGGGAACCTGACGGAAAGAGTTTGGAGAGGGGTCCTTCATACATGGGGACGGAGTGGCTAAGACGCTGAGTTTGCCGGTCAGAAAGGTCAGCAGTTTGTTCGAATCCCTAGCGCCGCGTAACAGAGGGAGCTCTCATTCCTTGTCTCGGCTTCTGCCAACCCAGCAGTTCGAAAGCAGGTAAAAAAATGCAAGTAGAAAAATAGGGACCACCTTTGGTGAGAAGGGAACAGCGTTCCGTGAGCCTTCGGCATTGAGTCATGCCAAACACATGACCACGGAGACATCTTTGGACAGCGCTGGCTCTTCGGCTTTGAAACGGAGATGAGCACCGGCCCCTAGAGTCAGGAACGACTAGCACATCTGTGTGAGGGGAACCTTTACCTTCATACAGGGCATACAGGTAGTCCTCGACTTACAACAGCTCATTTAGTGACCAAAGTTACAACAGCACTCAAGTGACTTAACAATTTTTGACACTTAGTAATTTGCAGCGTCCCCCATGGCTGTGTGGTCAAACCTTGCGTGCCTGGCAACTGACCCATGACAGTCGCAATGTCTCAGGATCACATCATCCCCTTTTGCAACCTTCTGACAAGCGAAGTCGACGAAGCCGGATTCGCTTAACAACTGGTGTGGCTAACCTAACAACTGCAGTGATTCACTTAATGACTGTGGCAAGACAGGTTGTAAAATTCACTTGGCTGTCTCGATTAGCAACGGAAAATAGTTGGGCTACCGGTATTCCACATCGAAATCCCTCACAGCAAAGAAACGATAAAGCCACAGAGCCCAGGGGACGTCGCGTGGTTTTGCTCGGCAGGAACACCACCAGGATTGTCGTGGCTTCCCAATTGTGGAGGCCACCCAGCCAACACTAAAGGAACGGGTCCCGATTCTGCTTAGCGTTATGAGATCAGGTGTAGAGACGTTCATTCGTTCAGACGGATCAGCACCAATATTGGAATGCAGTATTGCGGTTCTACAAAACAACCCACAGCGGCCGAGAGGAAAAGACCGAATTCGCTGCCCAGATTCCACAGCAAGGGTTTATTTAGCTTTAAAATAATTTTTTTAAAAAAAACCAAAATAGCAAGACGCCCACCTAAATATTTTTCAGATTTCCCTCTTATTAAGATTTTTCTTGACTGAATGTTTTTTGTTTTAAAAAAAGAGTATCAAAATACTTTTGGGCAACCGAGACGGTAGCTGTCGCAAGCGGAACTCTCAGACGGGACAATCGTAAACGTGGATTTCCTGATCATCCCCAACGGAGACGATTTTTGAGCCGTTCCCGTTGTACTGCACGCCCCAGACCTACGGGCGGGAGAGAAAGGCCCAGCGAGTTAGAAGGAAGGACCGCCGGGGATGATGATGATGGGCTGCCCCAAAGAGCATCTCCGGCTCTTGATCTCCCTTACCTGGTCTTGGTGGTCAAAGAAGGTGTGGGCACAGGTCCTGGAAGGCACGTCCCAGACTTTGACAGTTTTGTCTGACGAGCTGGAATTAAAAAAAAAAGATCGGCATATAAATCGAATAGACAACAACAACAAAATTTTATAGGTGTCCTGCGACGGTTGTTTACTGCTCTTCGAAAATATTTATGGATTCGATTTTTACCTGCCTTTTGTACAATTAAAAGTTCACTGCTTGGTAGACGTGCGTGATAAATCTAGCAAAAGCCACTTTTAGAGAAATTCCTTCCCTTATCTTTCTTCCCCATCCTTCTCTCCTTCCTCATTTCCTCTTTCCTTCTTCCTATTCCTCTATCTTTCTTCCTTTCCTCATCTTCCTACCTTCTCCCCTTTTTATTTTCTCTTTCCCTACTATTTCTCCCCATTTATTCCATCCGTCCTTTCATCCTCCTACCTTCTCCTTTTATTTTCTTTCCCTATTCCCTCCCATCTTCCTTTCATCCTTTTCCCCTCATCTTCCTTCTCCCCCCTTCCTTCCCTCTATCTCTCATTTTCTCTTTCCCTCCTCCCGCTCCTTCCTCCATCTGTCTTTGTACCTTCTGTTCTTTCCTCACCTTCCTTCTCTCCCCCCCCCCCTCCGTCTTTCCTTCATTCCCTCTCCAAAATCTGTTACAATTGTGGATAGATTATAGCATTCTACTCACCTGGAAACAAAATGGGTATCATCAGGGCAAAAGGCTACATTTAATACCCAAGATCCATGGCCACTCAGAGTGCCCGCCAAGTTGGCATGCTGTCTGTTAATTCAGAAAACAAGATTCTGGGTTAGAGAAAAACATCTTAAAACGATTTTCGGAATGCGTTGCACAGAACGCCCACAAAATCCCAAGATACTTGTAATAAAAGAGGTAAGAACAAGCTATCAATGACAGCTTGTAACTACAGTTAGACTTCTGGGATAGGAAAGAGACACATTCCCGTTTCAGGAGTCTTAATTGCTTGGATTGAGAAAATTTGGGAGTTGGAAGCCGAAATTCAAAGGAGATAATGGGGAATAGAGCGGGCGGGAGGACTTCCAGAGAAGGAAACCGAAACAGTAGATAAGTGGGTTCAGCAAAGGCACCACTCACACATCGTATATCTTGATGTAGCCGTCATCTGATGCTGTAACAAGCAGCTGAGAGTCTGGAGAAAACGTCAAGGAACGGATAGGCATGGCGTGACCTGGAGCAGAAGAGAGAATCACTTCATGTCTTTGGCTGCTTGAAATGTAATTTGCACCTTGCTCTATAAATCGGTTGAACTATTCCCAAAAATGTTTGCCAGGGGAAGATCCTGCTGGNACTTGTCCCAGCTTCTGCCAACCTAGCAGTTCGAAAGCACGTAAGAAATGCAAGTAGAAAAATAGGAACCACTTTTGGTGGGAAGGGAACAGCGTTCCGTGCGCCTTCGGCGTTGAGTCATGCTGGCCTCATGACCACAGAGATGTCTTTAGATAGCGCTGGCTCTTCGGCTTTGAAACGGAGATGAGCACCGCCCCCTAGAGTCGGGAACGACTAGCACATATGTGCGAGGGGAACCTTTACCTTATCTAAGGAGCAGATTAAAAAGAAAACTTTTAAGATGCTCTTGAGGTGCAAGGCCAGCTATTGAAGTGATAAACTTAATGAATGTTTTGTTTAAAACATTGCTGTTTTGGATGTATGGGTGGGGGGGGAAGGTATCCTAGAATGGATTCCGGCTTCCAATGCTCTGTGCAGCCTCGTCTGTTCTCTCAGCTTCTTCTAATGCAGTGTTTCTGGATCTCAGGAACTTGAAGATGGGTGGACTTCAACTCCCAGAATTCCTCCAGTCAACAGTCTAACATACTCAACTACATCTAAAGTCAGCATCCAGGTTTCATCCCAGGGGGTTGATAGCAATAGCCCTTAGACTTATATACCGCTTCATGGTGCATCACAGCCCCCTCTAAGCGGTTTACAGAGTCAGCCTCTTGCCCCGCAACAATCTGGGTCTTCATTTTACCCACCTCGGAAGGACGGAAAGCTGAATCAACTTTGAGTTAGTCAGAATCGAACTTCTGGCAGTGGGCAAAGTTAGCTTGCAATACTGCATTCTTAACCACTGAGAAAGAAGGAAGATAGCAGCACCTAGACTTATATCCCGCTTCACAGCCCTCTCTAAGCGGTTTACAGAGTCAGCCTCTCGCCCCCAACAATCTGGGTCCTCATTTGAGCCACCTCAGAAGGATGGAAAGCTAAGTCAGCCTTGAGCCATTCAGGATCAAACTGCTAGCAGTAGGCAGAATTAGCCTGCAATACTGCTCTCTAACCACTGCGCCACCATGATCCTCTGAGAACACATCCTGTTATCCTTTCTATCCCTCTAGAGNTCATTTTTGCCCTCCCCAGCCCCCAGGAGCTCTCTGAAAGCCTCCTAAAGGCTCTGCACTGCCATTTTGATGAAGGGGGCAGGGTTTTGGGAGGCCAGAAATGCTGTATTCAGTGTACCCAGGTTTTCAGCCTCTTTTGGGGGGGAAAGGTACTTTATTTTTATTTTTTTAGAGCAAATGTTGATCACGCTTCAATACAGATGACTTATTCAGAGCCCAAGTGGTTTGCAGGGGAGAGAATTGCAAAGCTAAATATTGTAATACAGGGGTCTCCAACCATGGCAATTTTAGGACTTGTGGACTTCAACTCTCGGGATTCCTCAGACAGCTTGACCACAACTCATAAAATTGCCAAGAATCCCCGCTATAATAAAATCATGGCAGTTTGGTTTTCTGTCTGGACGTTGAAAATTCTGGGTACTTTTCCCATGTTAATGAGTTCCCCAGGAAAAAGGTGGAATCAGACATGAGTTTTGCAGTTTCAGTTCTGCTTGAGAAATGGTCAACCAGACGAGCCAATGCACTGCTTTGGAGAAATAATCCGGGAGATAAATTTTATTGCAACATTAGCCATGGGGCAATGGTTTTCATTGCCTAACTTTTCTGCAAAGGGTGGGGGCTGCCTTGTTTGGGGCACCGGTAGCTCTGCTGGAAAATCTGAAATGCACCTTGGCTATTGTTAATTGTCTGCACTTATGTTTTAATCAGGTAAGAATGTGGTCCATCAGTTGAGCATCACTCTGGAAGACTTGTACATGGGAGCCACAAGGAAACTGGCCCTTCAGAAGAACGTTATCTGTGACAAGTGCAAAGGTAAATAATTTCTCAGATGGCTAAAAGAATTGAGTACAAAAGCTGGCCCCTTCTCAGGGATTTTACGAACTGCTCTTGCCTCCTTGACCGAAAATGCTGACCATTCCATACAGAACATTTTAAGACACCAGCTGTCTTTCAAGTTAAGCAGGTTTTGTGGCGCTGTGACTCGCCAGAGACGTTTAATCCAACCACAGGAATAGATCATTGGTCTATATTTGTGTTAAGATTCATCTCGCGGATGCTGCCTTGATCTAACACGGCAAATGAAATCTGCTGGGATATATATATATATATATATTTTTCCTCTGAAAAAGAATCCAGCTTTTTCAGAGGCCTCAGTAAAACTAGCGTAGTAACAGAACGTTGCCATTAAAGAGAAGCATTAACAAAAATAAAACAGATCTGTTTAGAAAGTAGACCCTAATCTTCTTTGCGAGAGCTCCTCCGGTTTGGGAAATTTCGTACCGTCCTCTTAACAAGAGGATTCCACACACACAGCTTTTCAGAACCATTTGCAAATATCATAAATTGAAAGTAAATGGATAAGTTTTGCTTAATACTTTGGTCAAACTTGATAGGCCAAATAAGGCAATTTTCTTAGTTTTTTTTTTTCAGAATGTATAAATATCCCTAGTTTTACGAAGAGGCATACCATATTTTTCAGAGTATAAGACTCACCTACCTTTTGGGGGAAGGAAAAGTGGGAGGGAATCTGCCTTTGCCTCCCAGCATCCATTCAGTATTCACCTGGCCTGTTTGGTGTGGCTGATTCGCTGCTGCCCATTTGCTGTCAGCATGGCCTGTTTGCCACAGCCTGTTCACCGCTAGCATCGCCCATTCAGCACTGTGGAGTTGGCGGGGATTCGGCAACATCCTGTGTATAAGACACACCACAATTTTCACCCACTTTTAGGGAGGAAAAAAGTGCATGCTATACTCCGAAAAGTACAGTAACTGTGTATCGACTGAAATGCAGGTCTGTCTCCCCTGAANTCGTTCTGTTCCAATAGGAGGCAGGGGCAGCCAGCGAGAGTTTTAAAAAGTCAAGATGCCTACTCAAAACTCCGCCTCCACCCGGAAAAGAGGAGAAGGACACACCCTGGATAAGAGATGGGCAGCCTCACTTGAGCTGATGCCCTGGCCAAGCCAACTCTTGCCACGTTAGCAAGCCACGGTTTCTCTCTGCATTAAACATACTCCATAACAAGCATGATTTGGAGATGCACACAGGAGCTGGTGAGAACATATTGGCAGCCACAATGCTCCATCCTGCCCCATCGGGGAATCAATTGAATAAATCAAAATAATCACAATGCCCATCAAAATCAGATGGGGGGGGGGCTTCCACTGTAACACGGGGGGAGAGCTGTCCTCTTGAACATTTTGACTATAATCTGCAAACAGATTATAATCTGCGTTCGTTTTGCCACTGAGAACACGCAAGGATATCCCAGGACATTTGAAAGAAAGAAAAACCCCCAAAAGAAGGGGCTTTCCTCCCCCCCACACTTTCTGCATTATTTTTTTTTACAGTCTCCATTTCTGGCTGCTGTTGCTCTGGGTGCAAAAAGGCGCTGACAACGGTGTCATTTTAATGAGGCCCTCGCTGCACAATGGGCGGCTGGGCAGAAGTGGCCGAGCGCGTCTTGGGTTGCATCCGTCAGATTAAATTCCCCCGATTGTCACGTCCGTCCGTTCGTGGGGAGCCCCCCCCCCGGCCCGTCCATTTCATCTGTCAGCGAGATGTACGGCCGCCTTCCTGCCCTTCCAGATGGGTGATCTATCTGCGTCGCGGGCCATCCATCACTTTGAGGTTGGGTTTGTCCCCTGCCATCTCTTGCTCGGCTGACACCTTCCTAATTCGCCCCCTCCCCACGTCCCGGCTGATCTTCCCTGACTCCACCGTCGCTGGTCAATAAACCCTGGGGGGGGGGTACTTGGAGAGCCATTAGGGTGGGATGATTGAGTGACCCCCTGGCTCCAGCTGCAGCACCGCAACACCCGGTTCTTTTGTCTGCCCGGGCCTGGCCAAAAAGAGGAGATGGATGGGGGACCCATCTGTAGGGGAGAAAGGAGGGCCTGCGGGAGGGGTGGGGTGGGCGACGCGATGGTTTCAGGTGAAAGAAAAAGAGCGTGCGTTTCTGGATCTGAAATTGGGGGGGGGGGCGATAGAAGTTTGTTTAATAAATGAAATAAATGGGAAAAAGAGCCTGATTTGGAGGCCAGGGGGAGGAAGGATATTTTCTTGAAAATGCCACCCCCCCAGGGTAAACAGGTGGTTGGGGGGGGAGAACACCTGGATGGAGAAGAGCGGAAACCTTGGCATGATTTTTCTTCCCTTCCTTTCCCTTTTCTCTCCCTCCCTTCCTCCTTTCCTTCCTTCCTTCCTTTCCTTCCCTTCCATCTCCTTTCTTTTTCCCTTCCCTGTTCTCTCCCTCTCCTTCCTTCATCCTTTCTTCCCTTCCTTTCCCTTTTCTCTCCCTGTCCTTCCTTCCTTTCCTTTCCTTCCAACCCCTTTCCTTTCTTTTTCCCTTCCCTTTTCTCTCCCTCTCCTTCCTTCCTCCTTNGGAATTCCAAATCTCACCTTCCAGCGTGTGGACAAGTTTCCCGGTTGCAATATCAAAAATATTGATAATCCCATCGATCGCTCCACTGGCTAGGTATTTTCCATCTGGACTCTAAAACAATCAGAAACCAGTACTGACCCCAGCCTTCTCCCTCTACACCACAAGAAGCCAAGATATTCACACCACACACTGCTATTCACCCTTTTGCGTTTACAGGAGGTGAAATTTGGTGACTTGACATTTTGGTTTCGTTAAGCTTGAAAAGCCAGACAGAATTATTCGCAGTTCATATTGTTCAGGTGGCTGAAACGGGTGAAGTCACCACCCATGAAGTGTGTTCTGTGAATGCACCTACCAGCTAGAATGCAGAAGAGAAGTGAGTCGCACCTAAACCTGGGATCACACAACATAGCAGGATAAGGTAAGTATGGATGCTGCCTATCTAATCAGCACATGGGACTTTAGGAAGGATTTCGGTGGAAGACAAAGCAGTGGTGGATCTATGAAAAGCACAAAATACACCTGTCCTGATTGAGAATGCGCTGCTACATCCAATGGGAAGGAAGCAGTGGAGATACATCTATAAATCCCACTTGGGGAGGGAGGGGGAGCTGGATTGATGGGTTGACAAAAATATATCACTGGTGTGATGCCTTCAAAACGCCTTTTGAACGTTTCTGGATTCTAATTGTAGATTATACACCCTGGTCCCAAAGAGCAAAAAAACCTGCATTATCAATTTATTTATCTCTCTTAAAAGGACATGCCCCAGTTGTGAGGGAAAAGAGGACGGATTTATTTGGAAATTGTTTTACGGCAGTGACAGACACACACACACCCCAACCGTCCCTCTCTCTTCCCCCCTTGGGGCTTGCTGCTAAAACCGTGATAATTCAGCGCAAAGTTTCTGGGACGATCTTGCCGAGTGGGAGTGATGGCAACAGGTGACAATATATGCTTATATATGCTTATAAGAGCCGAGGTGGCGCAGTGGTTAGAGTGCAGCACTGCAGGCTACTTCAGCTGACTGCTAGTTCTGCAGTTCGGCTGTTCAAATCTCACCGGC